TCATTTCTGTGAACTGTGTTTAGGCCGTTCAGAGGCAGAGCGACACAGAGGAGGCGTTTGTGACCTGTGTGAAACAGATCAGAGACGCTCTGCAACAGCACACCAGCGAACCATCAGCGCAACCTGCAGAGGATGATGGGAAACAGAGTCTTCCTGCTGAAGTCCTGCAGCTGCTGAGGACCACGCTCAGCTCATACCAGCAGAGGCTGTTAGACGCTGACAGACAGGTACAGATTCCTCTCGTTTATTTCTGCGTTTCTTCTGGTGAATTGTGATTTTATTCCTCTGCTCTTCTTCTGTGGCAGCTCCAGGATCTGCTGCTGGTGTCGGAGAAGCTGCAGGAGGAGAACCAGACTCTTCAGCAGCTGACCTCAGATCAGAGGAGGCAGATTGATGTAAGTACAAGTCTTTATCCTAAATGGAATCCCAGACAACGATAGGACTAATGTGGACTGCCAGTGCTGGAAAAGTCGGGAGCACTGGATGAGTTTTCTTTTTTACATAATAAATAATAGTAAAAATAAAAATAAATAAAATCCCAGATTAAAGGCTTCTCATTAAAGTTTGTAATGAATCTCAGTGCTCCTTAATAGACAGAATCCAGCATGTATATAAATCACATGACGTGATATAAGCAGACATAAGAGTGGAAACACCAAGTTTCCTTTTTTGGATACATGGGACGAACACAAGTGTGTCTCTGTGAAGCAGGGACTGTTTTTTTAAAGATTCTCAGTACGTTGGAGGAAGGTCAGGATCTCTGTGTAGTCTGTAAAGACATTTTCTGGTTTGTTGGAAGGTATATTTTTATGTCTCAACCTGTTTTTCTCTCTTTTTTCTTCTCCAGGAGTCTCAGCAGGAGACGCTCAAACTGAAGGAGGAGGTGACTCGCTTACGCCAGGAGAGCTCTGATTGGTCGACACGGAGTCAAAGCCAGGAGGTCGAGCTGCAGAGAGAGAGGGAGGAGAGGAAGAGAGAACTAGAGAAGGAGAGGGAGGAGAGGACAGCAGAAGTCCAGGAGATAACTGAACACTACAAGAAAGAGTCGACGGTGCTGAATCGAGATTTTTAACATTTGTCTCTCTTTTTTTTCTCATTTCTCTTCTTCCATGTTCAGCTTCCTCTTCACTTTATGATTCTGGTGCTGCATTAATCTGTCCGTTACTTTCAAACTATTTTTATCTTCTGTTGACTCAATTTAAATGAAAAAAGTGAAAAGTTGTCAGTTAAACACTTTAAATAAAGTTGTGTGGCAGCAGAGTCACAGTTTGAGCCCGCTCTCTCAGCAGCATGATGTCATTATATCATTACAGCTGAGGATTAAATGCATTACAGCCTCCTCATACTGAGCCTCTGTCTGTGTGTCAGGCCCATCTGTCCTTCCTCTACTGCCTCTACCAGCGCCTGCTGGCTGGCTGCGTCCTCCTCGATCAATCCCAGAGCATTCTGGGTAACTTCACCTGGCAGGAGCTGTGTGATGTCATCAGCGAGCAGGTGGACCAGCTGACCTCTGACCTCAAGAAAGCCAACAACAAGGTAAACCAAGCTGAATTCACCCACTGATACCCATCCTGTCTTCACCTCTAAAACATTTCCCTGCTTTATTGTCCTTTTTTACTTTCATATGAACACAATTTATAAAATAAATGTGTTTTATTTAATACGACTTGAAACTAGAATCTGAAACCAGGATTATGTGAAGTCCAGATGAGTCGCCCCCTGCTTGTCATTAGAAACAATCCAGGTTTCATTTCAGGTGTTTTCTGTTCAGCTCTACTCTTCAGACCCCAAGAATAAAAGTATGGTTGACTAATCATTGCAGCTCTGATGATTGTTCCTTTGGTACAGAGCCAATAAAATTTGTTGTTAGTGAGAACTTTGTTTGCCTTGACTAACTTCTTTCACAGCCAGATCTTAAAGAAAAATGGTAATTTTTTTAGGTGCAAGTGCCAAACCTGGTCACCACAGGTGTATTTAACCCTGGAGAACCCATGGGGTCAAATTTGACCCCATGGGTTCCCTAGAAAACCAATGGGGTCGGCTCTGACCCC